CACCATGCAGCTCTAGTACGTCCACAATGGGCACCTGTTCACCTTCACCACCGTGTAGCGCTGACATACGCTAGCTACTGTTCTCGCTCTACCTGCACCTCCACCGATCGAGTGGCGACACGAACAGCGACGCTACCTCCACCCCGCAACATCTTGAGTAGGGCCAGCCGAGCATGCCATCCGAATGCCCTCGACTACATCGACACGACCGACATCATCTTCGACCACATGCGCCAAGCTACGCTTTAGCAATGGGAGCTACGTACCATCGCCATGACCATATTCAATGGCATGGCCACATAGGCTTGGTCACTTGATCAAGGCCTCATTTCTTTGATGGTCGGCTCTACCTCCCGATGGCATCATCGCTCCTACCTGACCTTTTGCAGGTTCTACGCCAGGTGGTTGGGCCAACATGGAACTCCTAGCCCTCGGCACCCACCCACCATCGACGAGGGGCCAACACAATGGAGTGCCAACAAGCGTCCTACTTGGACGCCCGTGGCTGCAAGGGCGCCCCATCACGTGAGCAACGGTGGTCTTCCTCGACAACCTGAGCCGTCAACTCGTTTGCATCGACAGCGTCCACATCGCTCTCCGACACGATGCCACCGTCCATCGTCTTTCCCCAAGCGAATTTGACTTGGGCTCATTCATGTTCAGCACCATGCTTAACTTGACGACATCGCCGACAACACGATCAAGCGCCACGGTATGGCGCCGCATCCCTGCCTACCTCGCCCCCGACGTCGACAACCGCATCCACGACTTCATTGCTCCACCAAGAGAGATGGCACACTTCATATTCGGGGCAGCCATACAACGACCTCTACTTGTTGCGGCTTGCCAGACGACAGGAGCTGGGACGAACATTGGCGCGCACCTCTACTTCTTCTACGGCTACATCGGCAATCTCCTTTACTGCTTTGAGTTTTCGTCAACACGCACATGGGAGAACATCATCATCGCGGACACCATCTTCGGCCGCATGCATGGCCGCATCGAGGTCATTCTTCCCGGTGAAGCTTTTCCACCAGCTAGCGTCGACGATCGGGCCCTAATTCGGCATGAGGACGCGCTGAGTGGAGAAGGGGGTGGTGTCATACGCCCAATGGAGGCCTCCCAACCTAGAGCTAACGGGCCGAGAGGGGCCCAAGGAGGGGTACTAGGCGCCTCCACCAGCGTGCCCAGGAGGGAGGACATCGCCGCTCCCATCGATCCTGTCGTCGTTATCCAAGTTACCATGTCGAATCTATTAGAGTTTGGATAGAGTTTGGTTAGTTATGGATTTGGAGTTTGTTAGTATGGAAGGGCAAATCCAATCCTATAAGGATCTCCCGTAGGTTTCTTAGAGTCCAAGTTCTATAGGGACTATAAGTACGAGGGGGATGTAATCAATCAAACTAAGCAATAGACGAGCGATTGCTCCTTCCCTATCTCTCTCCCTCTCTCCCTGCGCCTACCGCTCTCTCTCTCTCTCTCTCTCAGCGCCGCCTCTCCTTCCCACGTTGCCAACCCTAGCCACCGCCCCTTTGCCCTAGCGCCGCTAGCCCCCTCCCCCATCACACCTCTTACACAAAGTAACTTAGTTAAAACTCAAGCCCAAATTTAAAAGGCCATACAAGGGAGGCGAACAAAGCCATCGCTGCAAACTCCCGCTAATGATATTACCAGAAGATGCAATCTTTACTCTGATCACATCGTTGTAATTAGGCCCAAAAGCATATATATATATATATATATATATATATATATATATATATATATATATATATATATATATATATATATATATATATATATATAACCAATCCGCTCTCCTGAATAGAATGAACATACAAATATGGTTTAAGTTGAGGTTTATAAAAAATGATGCTATTTCTTATTAGACATATAACGAATAAAAACCAGCAGCATCAATTAGTAGTAGCAAATTATAGTGTGATTGCCTCCTATTTATGCCATCCACTGAATAGATTCTCCACACACACAATGGAACACAATATGGAACAAAATTGCAAAGCATGCCAAAAAGAAATGATATCATCTTCGGGAAAGGAGAAAGTCCTATATCCGCTTCGGTAGAATTCCTTCAGAATTGTATCCCCAAAGAAACCAAACAACAATATACCATCCCTAGGAAAGGGCAAAGAAATCAGTAATCCAGAGCCCGTAGAGCACTACACTGCTCCTCAATATGACAAAAAAGTCAAAGTTCCTTGGTCGCCGCCTCCCCCGACTGGATAAAACTATGTGGATGCAGGTTTCGACCCCCTCTCCGGTCATGTCGGCCTTGATTTCATTGCAAGGAACCATATGGGTGAGGTTTTGTTCTCTGGATGGTCAAGCGATCAACGATGCAAGTCGGTTGAAGAAGCGGAATGTCTAGCGCCATGGACAGATCTAAAACACAACCCTATCTTCATGGAAAGGGTGCCTCTGGTTGGAATTAGACTGCCTCGGAATGGTACATCATCCAGAGGACAAGTGCACAAACTAATCTATTTTATGCCATACCATAGAAGAAGCGAAGGAAATCCTCAAGAACTTTTGGGAAGTCAGAATCTCCAAGTGTCATCGGAGTGCAAATGAGGTAGCTCATGAGCTATGTCAGTTTAGTAGGAGAGAGCTTTCATATGTTTTTGTTGCTGATGATATCCCGACCTGCGTGTCGGTGGCTTTAGCCTGTGATTGTAATCACGTTGACCTTCTATGGTTAAGCTCTCCCCTTTAAAAAAAGAATAAAGCATAATGACATTAAAAAAATATGCATCAAATGGTTTCTAATTTATTATGGAAGCGACATAATTTACTATATCCTTCCTATTCCTTCTAATAACGTGTGCGACATAATTTACTATCCTCCACATGTTCACTTTTTGAATTTTGAATATATGAAAAGCTGTAGTTGTTTGGTTTCCAACGGCTACGTTCGGTTCCTAGGGAATCACGTCCCGGAAACAATCCTGCCAGGATAATCCAGCTGACATTTGTCGCTTGCGAAATGCAACTCCAAAAGTACAGTTTTTTTTTGGGAAAAAGTACAGATATGCAAATAAAAAAGATTAGAAACATTAACGGGCCACTTAAATGCCGGAATGCCTGCATTGAATTTGGAACACTAGACCCATAGTGTTTGGGCCTCGAAATGGATCTATGGGCCAAAATCAGACAGAAAATTTAGGCCTTGGGTTGTTGCGTTCACGGGTTACGAGACGAAGCAAAAGAAGCCCACGTACGTTCGAGCCGTTTTCCCCCATTTTTCTTTTATCGCACGTGGCAGCAATTAAAGTTTGATTCAAGTTCCGATTTCCAAGCTGGTTCACCGTGGGCCGTAGATTTTTGTAGCTGTCCAAAATGTGGGTTTCCTATTTCTCCGTCAGAATTCAATTCACGTGTTCGCTGAACAAGCGTTAGTTATTACGGTCTTACAGACATGAGCGCCATCTCAAATAATCTTGGCAACAATTTGACTAGCGCTTCAATAGGCAAGACTCATGCAATGCAAGGTCGATGATAAAAGAAAAGGCCATATATAGTATGAGTATGAGGCTTTCGCTGTTCCTAGGTTGAGCAGTATTTAAGTATCTATGGGTTATTCTACACCACTCACCAGGCCAGCATCCCTATCCCAACATCGATGCGACGATGCCAAAAGGGTTTTCAGTTGGCGCCGACGCAGCTGACGGCAGGTCGGCAGCAGAAAACGTATTGGATGTCGGGACGTGATGGCCACTAATATAATAATGTCGTCTCCTTGCTGACCGACTCCATTAAACAAGGATGATCGTGGGCGTGGACCAATAACGGTGCCTTCCCGGCGACGGAATGAGCCATCTTCATCAAACGCTTCCGTTTCCATACACGATTAATGTAATCAATAGCGAGATTAGAAGAAAAGGCATGCCATTATCGGTGACGTGCTAATCTTGCACTTGATGAGCTGACAGCAAGGAGGGATGCCCATCGTTAATAAAGGATTAATGTGCCGTGTAGTCAGTGTCAACATCTCAATTGTCAACCCGGGTGCCATTGATTAATAAATATAAAATATGTATACTTATATTTTTTTGACAATATATATCAATTTAAAGGAGTACTTTTGTTTTGCGGTAAGGACACAACACAACATGACAGGGGTTTTCAGGCCTGATGGAGTCTGAATTCACAAGTGGAGGAGACCTGCGGTTAATCCGAATGTGACGGCACGGTGTCGAGTCGCTAGGAAAATAAAGGACGGCGGGTGATCGGGCACACGCGACGGGAACCTTTTTGATAGTGAAATGGGCAGGTGCAGCGGTTGATGCTGCTGTCAATACAACCACCACCACCGTCCAGTCCACACACACGGACTTTCGGTGCTGCTACCTTTCTTTTTCTCGCCTCATCTTGATGCGTTTAATAAACTTTCCAAAAGGAAGCATAGAAATTTTGTTTAATTTTCGCAGAAACACGTTAAGCCACAAATAATTTGGGAGGAATTCGTAGAATTCACACTGTAATAAATGGTGTCGTTCCATTCTTCACGTTAATGTACAGCGAAATATAGGGCCGAATATGTTGTGTGTAATAAACATAGCAAAAAGTACCAAAATTTTTAAAAAGAACGAACGGTCGTGTTCGGTGTTCCGTCCCAACTCCCATGTCCATGTCTCCGCGCACACCACGCTTGGCTGGCCACCTTCAGCGCCGCCCAGCGCAACGCTAGTGAGCAGCTCAAGAGCGCACCAAATTTGGCGCTCGGACTTCGGGACCTGGCAGAGGCAGAGGCAGAGGCAGACAGAGAGCCGCAGCACAGCAGCAGGGCACCAGTCACCCTCCTCCCGCCGCACCGGCACGTCGCCCACGTCTCCCTCGGTCCCTCCTTCCCCTCCGCGCGCGCCCACTCCCCGTCCGCCACCTCCCGGTAGGGTAGTCAAACCACGCCTCCGCCTCCGCCTCCGATCCCGGCACACTTCGAATCCCCCAACGTCTCGGCCGTCTCCGGTCTGCTCACCCCCATGTCCGCCGCCTCCGACCTTCCCAGCTTTGCCGCCTCCGACCTTGACAAGGTACGGTGTTCTCCCTTGGTCGACCATCAACTGCTTCCGTTCAGTAGCAGTTTTTTTTCCCATATATAGCAGGGGACAAAAAGTTCGGTTGGGTTTAGCTGTGACTTGAGAGAGAGTATGATAGTACAGTAGTAACATTTTGGAGCACCGACTATTAATTCACGGGTGGACACGGATATTACACGTGATTTGCGGTGCGTTACTGTTTCAAATTGAAGAAGCTCGGACTCTGCTTTCGCTGAAGGTGGTTGATGCTTGTGATTGTTCCGTTTGCCGATTGGCCAGATGGCAACGTTAATCTCGTCCTTTTCTGCTTTAACTGCTACTAGATGCTGGATGCAGCTGATGCTAGCATCCAATCAACCAGAAAATTTGATCCGCCAAATTAACGAGATGTGACTTCACTGCTCCACTAGCATATAGTACGGTGCATGCCATTGCTGTCCAAATGGCTTGCACACACCGTACATTCCAATGTTTCATACGTTTTCCTGTAATCATTTCAATTGAACTCAATTCGTGGTAACAAAATCGATGGTAACTCCGTAGCCTGTTGAAATTACTTCTGGACTGCACAAATGTATCGGATATATAAACAAATAATTTCTTCAATGATGGCTTTTTATAGTATCTGAATATGAACATCAGCCACGTTCCAGTGTGATGCCATATTCGAGTACTATGATGATGTTCTGGTTATTAGATTTATAATATTTGAATATGGACGTCAGCCATGTTCCACTGTAGTGCCACATTCGAGTAGTATGGTGGTGTTGGTGTTCTGACAATAATTGTCACTCATGCAATATTGCCGTGGAACATTCCTGTTGTTTCCAGCTCTTTGTACAATAGAAAAAATTATCTACTAACTGCCTTCTTATTTGATTGGCATTGATCCAGGGCCCAATGTCAGCTGTCATAGTCTGTCTTCTTGCACTGAGGGATCGGTTTGGTTCCACTGTTGGGGAAGGCTTGCATTGTAGCCTTGAAGGAAAAAGTAGGATGCGCAGCATGGAGTTTCCCATAAGGGAGAACGGCCATTGTACTCAAAATTCTGAGTTTGGAGAAAAGGTGAAAGAGAGCATACCAAAGGTCTCCAGAAGTCCAGCTTCGTCAGGTGAGAATTTTTTTCTATACATGTCCAGCTTTCAGCAGTAACACTGAAGGATACAGAGCGAGCTGAGCAGAGCTATTCTATTAGTTTTGAAATATGAAAATGTCAAACAAATCATATTTATCAGTGAAAACTGTAGTCACGTGTAGATAACTAATTCATACGATTATTTATCGTTGGTCCTTGCAATGGGAGGTTAAGATGTGAAGGAGGTTAGCTTATCAGTAGTTGAAATATCTTTTCTTATTGTAGAACCATCATCATCTCCATTATCAAGGCCTGAACTATCTTCTATTTCAAGGCACGCTGGACACAATTTTCATGAAGTATTCCATCTGAGACAAGGAATTTACTCTGACATGCCTATTTCTAAAATTTTGGAGATGATGAAATCCACCAACTTGGATGTAAGTGGAATATAGTAATTCTTTCTGAAATGTACGTGAGATAACGTCAGCACAAAATCTGATCTTTTTATTCTTTGCATCATGGAACATGGAACCAATTTTACAGAATGCCCCTACTCAGTCACTTCTGAGTTTTGTGAATGGTGTCCTTGACGAGATCATTGAGAATAAGAATGGAGAAATTCCTTATGTAGGCTACTCAAAAGCAATACAGTTAGTTGTTTCTTTTCATACATGAGAACTTTGGTACATTTTGTTTTATACTTCTTTCGTCCCCTTGAATAAAAAGATAACGTTCTTTGCACAGCATATCGCTTGCTTGTTGAGAAAGGTAATACTGGAGATTGAACGCCGCATTTCAACTCAGGCAGAACACATAAGAAATGTAAGCAATACTATTTCATACTTATATTTTCGGATTATTCTTGTTGTAACTCTTACTTGTATGGCAGCAAAATAACCTTATCAGAGCACGTGAAGAGAAATATAAATCAAGGATAAGGGTACTAGAGGCACTTGCAAGCGGGACAGGTGGACAAATACAAATAAACTCAAGTGCAGCAAATGGAAAAATAAATGTAAAGTTTAACATAAGTTCCAGTTTCATTTGAAACCTATTAAGATGAATCTTCTGCACTTTCGGGAAAAACGAAACCTTCTGACATTAATAACAGATCTCTTTCTTTATATTGATTTTCAGGTTGAAGATCATGTGCTCCGGATGAAGGTTTGTCTCTTGTCCAAAAAATTGTTACCTGTTCATATATTTGAATCGAGTTCTTGCTACTGTTTGCTCTAGAATTGTTCATTTGATCTGAATTCCGTAGAAGGGCTTGTTAGCAAATAAGCATTGATAGTTCAGTGGAGGTTCAGCTTAAAGGCACCACAAGATTGAGCTTCACGAACAAGGCGTGGCTTAACTTAAGCCTCCTTTGTGTGAATGATTGATTTTTTTTAATTCACTTTCATTCTTCAGATAGACAAAAGCCGAACTGAAGAAAGAGGATTAGTTGACAAAGATATGTCAAGCTTGATGACTGAGAAGGAAGATGTAACTAGATTGACAAAGGATAAGGAAGATATGGCTAGGCTGTTGAAAGATAAGGAAGATATAATAAGATTGATGAAGGAGAAGGAAGAAATGGTTATGCTGATTAAGGAGAAAGATGAGATGGTTACCTTGAGAAAGGGGGAAGATTGATGGCAGAGATCAGTCAGCAGATGCACATGTGGACAAATCAACTACATATAACGATGAAACCATTAGGATGATGAAGGAGAAAGAAGATACTAACAATACAATTATGAAACTAAAGAGCGAATTGGAAGCTGTAAAATCATCATATAAAGAGAACCACAACCAGTTAGAATCTACAAAGGAGGAGGTGCTTAAGCTTCAAAAGGACAAGGAGAATAGTGACAATATAATATCAAAACTCAGGCAAGAGCTTTCATTAGCACGGGAATCTCATAAGACACATATTCAAGAACTGGAGAGTAGTGCTTTGCAGGCAAGCAAATGCTTTGAACATAGAATAAAAGAAGTGGATCTAATGCTCGAAGATTCTAGAAAGAAAAGAAGAGATCTGGAGGAAGTGTTAGCATCTAGAATGGATACTTGGAAGCAGAAGGAAATCATGGTGAACCAATTTTTAGGTCTACAAATACAGAACATCCAGGTAGTGTTTGGTTAAATTATCCTTTGGTTCTCAATCTTTCTTTTAAAACATCATGATGTCAGAAATTGGAATTAAAACTTCTTCCCTATCAGGATTTGAGGTTATCTTCTGTTTCCATTAGGCATGAAATCCAAAACTGCCAGAAAAGATGGTCCGAAGAACTTAATGGCCTTGGTATGTTTCAGTGCAGCATGTGATTTTATTTTACATTGCAAACATTTACTGTAATTGGCATTTTATAACTTGCATATTCATATTAACTCTGCAGGACAAAGTCTCAACATACTGATAAATGATTCTGAAAATTATCGTGCTGCTCTAGAAGAAAATAGAAAACTGTACAACGAGATTCACGAACTAAAAGGTGACTCTGCAGACAAAGAACAACTTATTTGAATATGCATCTTCTTAATTTTATGAATTTTTTCGAGTTTTTATTATTCTTGACCAGGAAATATAAGAGTCTACTGCCGGATAAGGCCTTTTCTTCCTGGGGAGGATCAGAAATCTACTATAATTGAATATGTTGGTGATAATGGGGATCTGGTAATTGCAAATCCCACACGACAGGGAAAGGAGGGGAGCAAGTCGTTCAAATTCAACAAAGTTCTTGGCCCCACTGCTTCTCAAGGTATGAATGAATGTGACCTATGCAATATCCATGTGCTTTTGATACTGATAACTTCATTGCATCTGGTAAGGATTGTATTTTTGGAATGCTAACACACCACATTTTCCCTGCCCTTTCCTTTTCTCTTTTCTAGATGAGGTCTTCAAGGACATCGAACCCCTTATAAGATCAGTTCTTGATGGTTATGATGTTTGCATTTTTGCATATGGTCAAACTGGATCAGGGAAAACATACACAATGGTATGATGCACTGGATACAATTATACAAATATCTTCATCTGACTAGTTTTTTTTTTCGAGAAAATGGGTCTTTTCTTTTCAGTTATAATGTAATAATGTATTTTCCTTTCTGCAATTATCCCAGACTGGACCTGAAAATGCAACAGGGAATGAACGGGGTGTCAATTATAGAGCTCTGAATGATCTCTTCCATATTTCACATAATCGTGGGGATATCATCATGTATGAAATAAATGTTCAAATGATTGAGATATACAATGAGCAAATTCGTGATCTTCTTGGCAGCTATGGTTCAGAGAAGAAATATCCTTTTTCCCCTTCCTTCATTTATTGAATTCACATGCCAACACTTTCTGCAAGTGGCTTATGATAAATTCGATGAACCTAGTTTATTATATGTATTACTTCCTCTTCTGATGAGCCTAGTTGGCTATGAACTATTCCCTATAATTCGAAATGTAGGTGGTTTAGGACATTGACACGGTCTTCGGTATGACACTTTGATTTGCAATTTTGTAAAATACATACTATTTTGATAGAAAAACTTATATTACGAAAGTATTTTTTATGATAAACTAATAACATCAACCATGTGGTATCAATATATATGACTTTCTGTGTATTGATGGGTAAGTTAAAGAAGTTCGAGCTCTAAAACGATCTACATTTGGAATCGGATGGAGTAGTTAAGTTGATTCAGTTCAAGTGAACATATGTAGAAACTCAAAAATAAGTTGGACATCCTTTTATCATCCATGATGTACTCTTAGTTATCTGTACATTTTATAATAGCATATCACTCAAATCATTGACATATTTCAAATGGAATTAGAGTTTACTAAGACATCCTCTTTTTCCTTTAACTCCTACACGCTAGAGATTATGAATGCCAGCCAACCCAATGGGCTTGTCGTTCCTGATGCAACGTTGCATCCTGTTAATTCAACATCCGATGTTATTGAGTTAATGAGAATAGGACTTGCGAACAGAGCAGCGGGTTCGACAGTGTTGAATGAAAGAAGCAGCAGATCTCACAGGTTTATTTTCATGTCCCATAATCTAGTTACATTGTTTATTATGATTATTTTAAAAATAGAGTTACTTTGATTAATTATGCAGTGTTGTTACCATACACATTCGAGTTGTCGATTTGAAAACAGGAGCTACCATTCGTGGTGCACTACATCTTATTGATCTTGCTGGGAGTGAGAGAGTGGACCGATCTGCTGTTACAGGCAATAGACTCAAAGAAGCACAACACATCAACAAATCTTTGTCCGCTCTTGGAGACGTCATATTTTCTCTATCGCAGAAGAATGCTCATGTACCGTACCGGAACAGCAAACTTACACAAGTCCTACAGAGTTCTTTGGGTGCTTACCATTGCTGTTTGTTCTATATACTTCTTACATGTTATCGGTTACTCACCTAACAGTTTTCATCTGCAGGCGGCCATGCAAAAACCTTGATGTTTGTGCAGATCAACCCAGATGTCTCATCTTATTCGGAGACTTTAAGTACTTTGAAGTTTGCTGAAAGAGTTTCTGGAGTGGAACTAGGTGCTTCAAAGGCGAATAAAGAAGGCAAAGACATTAGAGAATGTATGGAACAGGTGATAAATTATTGTTTTCCTTTTGTCCATCCCTTATTCATACATGGCACTAGATATGGATTACTAATGTTTATTCTCTATATTATCCAATGGGATGAAACTTAACTAGAGATTTTTCTTTCAAATCGAATGCGAAATTGTAAATACCATTCTTCTCACCACCAGTGTTATACATAATCTTTTTATTTGTAATATCCTTTCCACCCCACAGCTCTCAGTGCTCAAACATAAAATTGCAAAGAAAGATGAGGAAATTAACAGATTACAACAACTCAAGACACAAACTCCAAGGGTCAGGACAGCAAAACGTGCAGATTCCCCATTGAAACATTCGTCTTCCTCCCCAGGCATATCTAATTTAGGAAGCAAAATCCATCATAAAACAACGGCATCTAGTGGAAAGGCAATGAGCATTGGCAGCAGGGCTGGGTCTGATAACTTCTCTGACATCAGTGACAGGCACTCTGAATCTGGTTCTATGCAGTCTGTTGATGATATCCTATTTCATAGGGGGATTATGGGACTTCCGAAGCTCTCTATTGGTGCAATGGGTCAGAATTCTGCTGGCCCTGAGCTTGTTTGCTTTGGCTATGCTGATTCAGAAGAGAGATTAAGTGATATATCAGATAGTTGTCTTTCCATGGGTACAGAGACAGATGTTTCAGTAAGCAGTATAGTTGAGTTGACACGCTTCCAGGAGCAGGAAAACATATCTAGCACTCAGAAAGAACAAGAGAGTGCACCAAAAACTCCAAATGATCGGTTGTAAGTGCTCTCATCTTTTTACAGTGAAAATTCATACAAATACAATTATGGTTTCATGATATAAATATGTTTCCCTAGGACTATCATTTCTTTTCAATCCAAGTTACATACGATTAGTAACATTTAGTGGAAGCATTCATGTTATCAGATCAGGTCACTGGGTGCCGATAGTGGCTAGCTCTGTGTGTTTGGTTGGCCTTTTGTTTTAATTAATTTTTTTATTTATTTATAAGCACATTTTCTTCCTCATACAGGTCTAAGGTGGCCACCCGAGTCCAGAAGACAACAGCACCCAAACCAGCTCAAACTTCCTTGTGGCCTAAACTAAGAGATCCTCCAGCTCTTAGATCCCCAAGTAAGCTAAATTGCAAGTCCATTTTTCTTTGTACTCACTGAGCTGAATTTCTGCTTCTGCATGTGCATATTTAAGGCATTTTTTCTGACAAAAATCATATGTATGGCTATAGTGCAGCTGCTGAAATTTTACCATTATGCCAGAGTATAACCTGAATATATAAAAAAGGAATAAAAAGTTTCCATGATTCGGTTAAAAACACGTGTATGTGATGTAGTTATGAGATATGTGGCACGCCACTGAATTATGCTGGAGGATCTATTTGCATTTAATTTTGTATGATATGATACTGAATAGACCATCATTCGGAGCAGAATTCCCTTGAAAGTATGTTAAACACCATATTTAGCCAACTAAAAAGACGAAACAAACAAATTTCTGTTCTTTAATATTATAGGTATAAATTTTCCCATAAGTTTTCACTTCAACCTTGAAAATAGACGAATTCAGTGTCGTTTTTTTTTTTTTTTTTTTTGTGAAAGGCAGAAAAAGGATAAAGCTAGTAAGCTAAAACAGGTGTTACCATGACCTTTGGTTACTAGTTACTCCAAACTTGACGTGTTACCAATGGGAACCTGTACCTGTAGCAGAATATAGTAACTCAATTCCAAAAATGTGTACCAAGCGTGTAAAGAAGTTTTAAATCCATTTAAAGTGGCAATGAGCTAAGACAGTTACCAACTGATGAATTATGGGTACATATACATTACCCACCATCTGCACTGCCAATGGCTTAGTTTCAAATGAACTGATTATTGAATTACACCTACCACTTAATTTATATTGCTGTTTTTGTTATCTAAATAATAAGTGAAATTTGAGTCAGATAAGTTTTCAAGACATGATATGCATTATCACAAATATATAAACTAATATAAATATTTCGTTCGTTTTTTTTTTTGCCGTGTCTGCAGGGAGAATCACAGCAACACAAACAATACCTGCACCAAGAACGTCCAGTACTTCGAAACGATGGACATAAGTCAAGTTTGATCAACATGTTCTAACACTAGTTTATGTTTTTGTACAGCACAATCGGAAAGTAATTCATGCCAATTGATGAACTTTATACATCAGTTGATTCTGTCAGGAAAAAAATGCCAGTTAGTTTTCTATTTCCTTTTGAAGATAGATTATATGATGTAAAATTTCTTTGTGCATACACGATGTTCAAAAAGTTTGCTGATTGCTGGATAGAAGTGGTACTTCTCTGTATATAGTTAATAGAATCAACAAGTCTGTCTTAATTGTTATAAACGAAAACACACACAAAAAAGAAAAAGTCTACTTGAGCCGTTAACTGTTGATCGGTGTCTGCTTCATCACATCACCTATAAAACAGGTATTTGCTTGGGAGTGACCGTGCATCGTCCGTCGGCCGGTTGTAAGGCCCTGTTTGTTTCTACATGAGCTCCTAAAATTTCTGTCACATCGAATGTTTAGACACATATATATAGCATTAAATATAGACTAATTACGAAACTAATTACATAACTTGCGACTAATTTGCGAGACGAATTTTTTAAGCCTAATTAGTCCATAATTTGACAATGTGGTGCTATAGTAAACATGTGCTAATGACAGATTAATTAGGCTTAAAAATCGTCTCGCAAATTAGCCTCCATCTATGTAATTAGTTTTATAATTAATCTATATTTAATATTTTTTATTAGTATCTAAACATTCGATGTGATATCAATTTTAGGAGCGACTAAAGAACCAGACCCCCCGAACTCTCGTCAGTGCTGGCCGTCGAAGCCCAGAGTACCTCGTGGGGAGGGTTTCTCAGCGGACGAGGCGATTTCTCCGTGTGCGCCCTTCCCGCTGGCGCTTGGTGTAGTCCTTTGATATTCCTCGGTCGTCACGCTGGCAGTGGAGTCAATGCGCACCGAGCCACGGTGATCCAAAGGCGGGACGGCCGTGGCACTTTGAATGCACAGATCCGAGGCGTCGGTCCTGCACGGAGGATTCGAGAAGGACGCGGGTCCTCGAGTCCCACGCAACTTCGTCGTGTGCGTGCGCATGGGTGGCATCAACGATCCGTTGCTCTGATTGGGCGGGGCAAAGTTGAAGGGGGATTGCTAGCGCCCTGATGGATGCCCGCGTCCAGACGCCGGTGTCAGCATCTAGTTTCCCGCGTCTACACCCCGGTTCGCCCACGCACGGCCCGCGCCACCCAGACCGCACCGCCGTCCACCCGACCTACAACACACAAAGACCACTCATGCCTCACGCTTTCCACGCGCATGCAGGCAGGGACATTCTGCGCCCGCTCGGCGGCGCCCCAGCAACTACAACAGGCGGCTGTGGCAGGTGGTCCAAGGTGAAACACTTGCAACATACGTTCGAAACAGTTGAAACACTTACAACATATGTCTGAAACACTTGCAAAATGCCCAAATACACTTGAAAGCCACGACAAACGCATGCAACATCCAGATCTATTTTTGCAACATACAGATAAAACACTTGCAACATACGTATGAAACACCTAAAACACTTGAAATATATGCTTGCAACATGCATGTTATGCAACATCCAGATATACTTCTGTAACATTCACATAAAACACTTGAAACATACATCTGAAACAACTAAAACACATGAAACATATACTTGCAACATTCGTATATAGCCATTACAACATAGGCAATATCCAGATAAAACACTTGAAAACATACTTCTGAAACACTTGAAAATACTTAAAACATGACATCATCGGCGGCCATAGCCTACCTGGTGGTGAACTGCGGTAGCTAGCAAGCGGTGCTCGGGTGCAGTGGAGAGGGAGGATGGCGGCAGGCAAGCGGCTGGGCGTGGTGAAGAACGTCGTGATGAAGCAGTCGATGTGGACCACGCTGCGTTGACTCAAAGAAATCGGTGGCGAGTGATGAGTGGCGGTGGGGAGATAGGAAGGTAGGTGACGGCGCTTGGGCATGGTGCAACACGCCACCATGTTTTGGCCACCGACAGCGCTATCACGGTGCACTACTACACTCAGAGCTTTCACAGCCACGTCGTAACCCCTATCTCAGCCCCATTTCAGCCACGGCAGTAAGCTATCTACAGTGATAGTCATAGCCATCACCGTCGTCATCTGAGACCAACTATGGTGTACACTACACCGCCGTACTGGCTTATCATCTGTCCATGATAAAGGTTATTACTTCTGTTGCATTAGAGCACGACCCGGCTGTGGGTATACACTAACACCACCGCAATGGTAAATTATTCACCTATGTCGAGGCTATCAAAACTGTCATGTGGGCACATCAATCACCTATGTAGTGGTCACCTACACCATCGCCTTGTACTTCGACCCTACTGTCTGCGGTGCGGGTTCGCTGTCCCTTTGATGGCCGAGATGTCTATGTAGAGGTTAACACCACCATCGTTTCAGCATATGAACCGCCAGTACAAAGGTCATGGTCACCGTCTCCTTACACCACGATCCACCTTTGATGATCGTTTAGTCGGTGTCGGGTTACTAAATGATTCGGCGGTGATATACTTTTGATCCCTGCCGCATTATATGTATATCAACGGTGTTGGACGTTTGCACCACCACCGACAGTGGTGATAAGAAAACAATGAATGGCGCTTACATCCGACGGTGACAGAATTTCATCCGGTTTCATAGTTACTAATTCAGCTAGGCCCTTAATAGCTTCTTGAACACAAAGCATACAGATATATAATCATTGCATCCAGAAATCATGTTCCCAAACAAGAGTACTTTTTACAATAACAATGTACGCTACCATAACATCTTTCTCAACTAATGTCCTAACACAAGCGGTACATAGAGCATACTAAAGGTACTGATCTATACAGACTTACATAATGAAACGACGTAGCTGTGCTACTTCTATGTGGCACTCCTGTTTGCAAGACAAAATGAATATAATTAGTGCATCCTTTGGATTGGTAGCCAATGCACCACATCTCTGATCCACAACCTGAACAATGCAACAGAATTAATAATATTGAACATACCATTCCTTTAGTTAACAAGCCAAAATTGGCCTAAACATACATAGAATGAAAACAAGTCCCTACCTGAACAAAGACTATCATGATAACGAAATATAACAAATACACCTTTACTGCTCTGCTAATGACTCCATGAGCATAGAAACATAAGGAAGATAGTAATGCCTATTCATATGAAAACGCCCTCATGATCTACAAAAGCAGATGACACGGGCATGGATGACATGAACCTTTCTGCGGTCTATGTCATATGCAATTAATGTTTTATCCTTCCCAATAAGAAAAATGAAATTCCATTCTGGGTGAACTGTAATCACTTTGTACTCCTCATGACAAAGCTCAGAACCAACTTTAATATTCATGTGTCCAAACAGTTCCTCTATGTCCACAACATGCTTCAATCTCCAGTTATCAGTACCATAGTCCTCAAGTATCCACACTAAAAGCCAAGACATATTTTGAAAATCAGCACAACACACATATGTGATCCTGAGCTTGATGGATGGACATTTCAGCACCACGTGGTTTACGAATTGTCCTCCATGTCTTTCCCTTCATATCCACATCAACTATCGTAGAGTACTCAAGCATGTGCGTAAAACCATTAAGAAAAATACTTCTCGATTTTGAACATAGAACAATACCCTCACCCCATTCATAGATTCCTTAAAGATCCATGCTGCAGTTTTAGATGAGTAGATCTCCACACCTACGCACACACACTCTACCTCAACAAATTCAATCACATGGAAGTGTGAGGACGTTGGATCGAAACCTAAGCGAGCCTGACCAACAGAACGGATGCTAAGCGGCAGTACATGCCATTTGTGGGTAGCTAGATTGCAGACAACATAGTGCCATAATCCATCAAGCCCAGCACACTGGCAAAGGATGAGGCCGCTATAATAATCTGAGACTAGGATTTTTTGAAGGGGGAAAGGCAAGAAGGACAAGGAGGGGAATTCACAGGTGATGCTGGTGAAGTGGCAATTGCCCTTCCACCAGCTAACATAGAAGAAGCCGACGATAGTCTATGAAAGATTCTTATGGTGATAGGAGTCTGGGACGATGCGCTTCTAGGAGCGGCGCACACACACAGCAACACAAGGACCGGGCGGGGAGGTAGCGGAAGATGTCAGTAAGCACATTGTCTGAGAGCCTATCCACTGCGTTCCTCATGTTGGGGGCCTCTGTGGGGGTATGACCCCCAGTATCCACAGGACAAGACATGGGCCGCACCATCAGAGGTGGCCTAGCCCACAAGATCAAGGCATGCGACGCACGGCACTGGTCGACGTGCACCGCAAGGCTACAAGAAGATATTGTAATACCAAATAGGATATTTTCCTTGTAACCCTACCCCTCCAGAGTATATAAGGAGAGGCAGGGGGTCCCCTACTGGGCATCTCCACATATCTCAATGCAATACATTAGAACACAGAATATAGGTATTACGTCATACTAACGGTCGAACCTATCAAAATCTTATGTCTCGATGCTTGTATTACCATCTAGTTCATATCTCGCGCACCTCCATCGATTCATCTACTATCATGGGCATACCCCTCGGTAGACTGCCGGTTGTATTTCGTCGAAGGACACCACCAGCCAAAGAGATGAGGCTGCCCTACCGTGGAATTGCATCAATAAACATTAGTAAGGAGATGAGTTTTGAGAAGGGATAGCGATGCAAGTAAGGCCTTATTACACTTGACTTTGGATCTAGCGGTGGTGAACACGAGTGGCAACACTGGTGACAGTAGTAGCTCGTTCGCCGGTGGATCTATGCGGGCAAGCCAACGATGTGCACCTGTGTGGATCAAGAGTTGAGCAGTGGTGATGAGCAGGAGCGACGATGATGAACAACAGCAATGAGGACAAGAAAATCTATGTGTGTGGGGGGGAGGGAGGGGGCGGTGGGGGTGGGGGATGTTAGGGTAGGGGTTGCTTGCTCTCTATGTAACTTTTACGACATGCGGGAATTGAACT